GATTACTCTCAAGCAAAATGAGGGAAAATCTGTGTAGATTACAGACATTCTGTTCACGTGAGCAGCTGTCAGTCAGCACCTGTCAAACTCCAGGCGCACGACGCAGCGTGAGTCTGAACCAATCACTTTTGTTGGCATTGATCAGCTGACTGATTTAAATACATCTTAACATTCATGAGGTACTTTACATTGACTGTTTATGGTTGAGTGTGGGCGTGTAGAGGGTAGAACCTGAGGCGGGACCTCGTGCACAAACTCTGGCGTGCGGCTGTGATTTTATAAATGAAAGATGCGCAGAAACGTGCGTACGCATGATTTTATAAATCTGAATTTTTTTTGGCGTACGCCATTTCCGCCTTTTGGCCGTACGTTCACTTTTAGTATGGTTTCCACGCAATCCTTTATAAATGAGACCCCAGATCTGTCACCTATAGAGAACATTTGGTGCATCATAAAAAGGAAGGTGCGACAAAGAAGGCCCAAGATGAATGAACAGTTAGAGGCCTGTATTAGACATGAATGGGAGAGCATTCCTATTTCTAAACTTGAAAAAGTGGTCTCCTCTGTCCCCAAACGTCTGTTGAGTGTTGTTAGAAGAAGGGGGGATGCCACACAGTGGTAAAAAATGGTCTTGTCCCAACTATTTTGGGATTTGTTGACGCCATGAAATTTTGAAACAACATATTTTTCCCTTAAAATGATACATTCTCTCAGTTTAAACTTTTGATCTGTGATTTGTGTTCTATTCTGAATAAAATATTAGATGTTGGCACCTCCACATCATTGCTTTCAGATTTTATTCACAATTTTAGTGTCCCAACTCTTTTGGAATCCGGTTTGTACTGTGTAAACCTCTCTAAGATTAGATAGATGCTTTATCAGTGGAGATGACTTACCACCAATATATACTGCAAGCACTGGAAAATTACAGTATTTTTAAATTAAAACTGTGGAAGAACCATTTAAATAAATCAAGTGTTTATTAAAATATCAATTTTTATTTTAGCTGTAATTTTTTTCCTGGAGAAAACAGAAGTTTGACCATCTTTTATTCTGTTCTCATCAATACTGGCTTTATTTAATCTTTGATTTGACAAGCTGCCAATTGTTTATTGTTCCTGCTTGACCTGACCGCACAGAACTACTTGGTGCTTTAATACCATTTGTCAACAGATTGCTTTTATTTTAGACTCTTTACCTGTCTTTTATTACTTACACAGCAACTGTTATTATTTTTACCCATATTGAAATATGAACGGGTAAATTCAGTTTGAAAAGGGGACAGGAGTGTTTATTTTTTTTAACATCTAGTAGCAGACAAGATAGAAACTAGGCCAACAGCATCATCAGCAACACTGCACTAAAAATAACAACGTAACCACTCTCTACACACATCCTCTTTGACTCGCCAAGTCTCAACTGAACAGGAAGCCATTCCTGAATCACTATTGTTATTTTTGCCCAAAGGATCAGTGGATCGTTAGCATGTTCAGCTTTCTTTAAGTTATGCTTCCTTTTGATCATTCCTTTTCCTCCTCTCGACTGCGTTGCTGCTGGCTCCTAAAACTCCTGCTTCTTCATCCCAGCCTGCACGTTGGCAGCAAGGATTCAGAAAGATGCAAACCTGGCTCAGTGGACAATAAAAAAAAGCACATTCAAATATTTTCCTTCTCCTCAGTCTGGTGAATACCACCGCACACCCTCGATCTGTGTCTCAGTGTAAGGTTGAAGGCAGCTGTCAGTGGAGTGAGGAGTCCCCAAAGAACAGTCTGTGCAGTGGAGCTCTTCTACCGCCTGTCTGTCTTGTGGTGTGTGTGTGTGCGCGTGTTTGTGTGTGAGTGTGTGTGCATCCTTCACATACCTGTGGGTGTCTGTGCAAACTCATGGATGTTCTGTCCTTCCAGATTTTTAACTGAACTTGTAATTCCATAAGTGTTGTAACTCATCTCCCTTAAAGAAAAAATGACTGTTGCACACGTTTGCCTTACCGCCCTGTAAACCCTGGAGTATAAGAAGAGTGCCTGCTCTGATGAATGAATGCACTGTATCCAAACAAGTGGAAAATGAAGTCATTATTTTCAGCCACTTTATTCTCTTAAGTTGACTCAGAGCTCAGCATTCATCTCATTGTCACAGCTTATCAGGAATTAAACACCTTTATAGGCATTATTTAGTAACATCAATCTAATATTGAGCAGTCATTTAAAATGAAGACAGCACTGCTGGCCAGGTGATGTACTTTAATAGACCCATGATCGTAGCGTTGACGTGGTGTTCTTATTAAGTAGAGGGTACAAGCACGAAAACAGCTTTTACATAACTCTAAGCGTGAAATATGCAAGACCAGAAAAATTCAAACAAGCTTTTTTGACAGAGACCACACAGGCTTATCCAAGGTTAGGATATTGATAAGAGGTTAAGGCATTATTGCTACCTATAGATTGTGGCCTTGGCGTGGATGTTGGGCCTTTTAAGGAAGACAAATTAAAGCTTGCACTGGTCAGAGAATAGCCCGGGAGCATAATGAAATCAATGGCGAGGACATGACGGCCCTGTTCCTCAGCTCGTTCTGCTCAGCACACACACACACACACACACACACACACACACACACACACACACACACACACACACACACAC